CTCTCCTGCTCCCTTCTGGATCTGGAGGGGCCTTTTGGGGGGCTGGAGAGCCTTAGGCCTGGGCTCCTTCCACTCATGGCTCTGTGTTCCCCCAGAATTCACTGTCTCTAGCACCTGCTCCTCCTCAGAGGGTACCCTGGAATGACAATGGCACTTCCGATGCCTGGACCCCAGGTGAGCACCCCCTGAGCACCCCCTGAGCACCCCCTGAGCAGTCCACTGCCCCGGGAGACTGCTTCGCCCCTAGCCTCAGCTTTTCAGCCCTGAGAACCTTCCAGGGAGCCTCACACCCACCCACATCACAAGATGGAGTCTGCAAGCCGAGGACCACCTCCTTCCTCTGTGGCCAGGCCGCACACGTTTCTCTGCCAAATCCTTCCAGCCTTTGGGCAGAAGTGGGCTTCTTGGGGCCTCCTATGGCCCCTGAGCTTCTATAGTCAGCCGTTGAGGGCAGGGTCCCTTTCCTTCCCCAGTGCCTGCCTCCTTCCTGGTGTGAGTGGTCAGCCGTCCTCCCTCTACTGATGCTGACTCACTGCCGGTGTTGGAAATGGAGACGCAGAGGGTGGGGACGCAGTGCTGGTGCTCCTTTCCCAAATCCCTGATGGTCTGTGGAGAGGGTGAGGCCAAGGTTGGGACCCCTTCCTGGTAAATCTCCCTCCCCCAAGTTCAGTTTTTCCCTCTTCCTCTCTGGGGCTTCTGCTGAGACTGAGGCTGCTCACTCGGGGAGTGTTGGGCTGCCCTGACTCTGCTGGGCCCTGTGGATGCAGCAATGAGCAGCAGGGAGAGAGGCCTCTAGCAGATCGCGCAAATGTTTCTCATCGGCTGGGTTCTCACCGAGCCCTTGACTGCCTGGATAGCAGAGTATGTGGTTGCAGGAGGCTGTTATGTTCGAGGATGTGGCTGTGTACTTCACGAGGATAGAGTGGAGTTGCCTGGCCCCCGACCAGCAGGCCCTCTACAGGGACGTGATGCTGGAGAACTATGGGAACCTGGCCTCGCTAGGTAAGGGCTTCTGCCTTTGGTCCTGGGGCCGGGAGGTGCGTCTGTGTTAGCTTCAAAGGGAAGTTGGTTCCATTCCAGATTCAAGGTCTGAAACATTTTTGAGGGGAAACTGGAGGCTCCCCAAGGAGCCCCTCTCTGCTTTCTGTTGGGCAGCCACTGCCAGCATCAGCCTGCCTGAGGCTTCTCTCCTGGGGCAGGCCCCCCACCTCCCCTTGGCCACCTAGCTGCCCCTCCTGGGATAGTGAGTGTTCCTGACCCACTCCAAGCACTCCAGCCAGGCACCCGGGCATCCCTCCTCTCTCCTGTACTGATACATTCTGCTTTCCTTCTCTGAACTTAGGCTTTCTTGTTGCCAAACCAGCACTGATCTCCCTCTTGGAGCAAGGAGAGGAGCCGGGGGCCTTGATTCTGCAGGTGGCTGAACAGAGCGTGGCCAAAGCCAGCCTGTGCACAGGTGAGTACAAGGCACTGGAAGGCCTGGGCTGCTGCCACTGCAGGGCATGTTGTGTGCTGCCAGTGTGGCCTGGCCCCACTGCACGGTGTGTCGTGTGCTGCCAGCGTGGCCTCCGTGCAGTTCTGTGCAGGTCCCTTCTCCTGCAGTGGGAGGTGTGTGTGTTTAGCTCCTCACAACATGGTCCGAGTTCCTACTAACTGCCTTGCTTGTAGGTCTAAGGTCAAAACTAACTTATGCAGGAAGACCCAAGTGCATGAATTTTCCATTTTGGCGTCCCCAAGGTGTCAGAGGCCGGGTCTGTGCACCTCTACCCTTAGGTTGTGTAGGGACCAGCCCTACAGGGTCTGTGGGTTTTTCTTCTCGTGTGTGGAGAGGAGAGATCATACAAATAAAGACACAAGACAAAAGAGATAGAAGAAAAGACAACTGGGCCTGGGGGACCACTACCACCTAGACGTGGAGACCGTTAATGGCCCCGAATGCCTGGCTGCGCTGTTATTTATTGGATACAAGACAAGGGGGCAGGGTAAGGAGTGTGAGCCGTCTCCAATGATTGATAAGGTCACGTGAGTCACGTGTCCACCGGACAGGGGGCCCGTCCCTGTTTGGCAGCCGAGGCGGAGAGAGAGAGAGAGAGGACAGCTTACACTATTATTTCTTCTGTGCAATTTAATGACTCTTAGTACGTTCACTAATTATACTACTACTATCTAGAAGGCAGAGCCAGGTGTACAGGGCGGAACATGAAAGTGGACCAGGAGCATGACCGCTGAAGCACAGCATCACAGGGAGACGCTGAGGCCTCCAGAGGCTGCGGGCGGGCCTGAGGGATGTCAGGTCTTCCACAAGAGGTGGTGGGGCAGAGTCTTCTCTAACTCCCCGGGGGAGAGGGAGACTCCCTTTCCCATCTGCTAAGTAACGGGTGCCTGCCCAGGCCCTGGCATTACCGCTAGACCAAGGAGCCCTCTAGTGGCCATGTCCGGGCATGACAGAGGCTCACTCTTGCCTTCTGGTCACTTCTCACTGTGTCCCTTCAGCTCCCATCTCTGTATGGCCTGGTTTTTCCTAGGTTATGATTGTGGAACAGAGATTATTGTATTAGAATAAAGAGTAATGCTACAAACTGATGATTAATAATATTCATAAATCATCATATCTATAATCTATTTCTAGTATAACTATTCTTACTTTATATATTTTCTTTATTATACTGGAACAGCTTGTGCCCTTGATCTCTTGCCTTGGCACCTGGGAGACTTGCCGCCCACATCTCCCTTCTTTTTATTAACTAGGATCGCCATCGCCATCATTGCTTGTCGTTGACTTTGAACTTGTCTTTGGACTCATTGGAGGCATCTGCAGACTAAAAATAGACAACAGAAGCATACCAGTGTCAATAATGCCAGTGACAACAGTGACCCTCCAAGGGGTGTGATCCATTTAAAGGGATTAAGCTTAGGTAATCCTTTAGTTATTCCTTCAAAAATGTCTAAGCCAGGAGCAGTGGTTAAATGAGCCTGTGAGGCCTCAAAAATTTGTTCTTTAAGTTTTGAAATATCTAAGGTTAAGTTATCATCCCAGGCTTTTAAATGCCTTAAGACCTTTTCCCAGCTATGTTGATATTTATTATAAGCATAAGGCATTATGCAGCCATCAGAAGTATTCCAATCACATTGTAATTGCATACGGTGTTCCAAATTCATAACTCTATCTCCCAGCCAGATTACACTCTGGTGGAGATCATTAATTTGATTAGCTAATTTTTGATCGACTTAAGTCTGAGAATTCCAAAGCCTGGAGGAGTTTTTCTGCCATGCTTCAACATATTGAGCGGTTTGAACAGAATTGTGGATTGCAACTCCAGCGGTTGCCGCTGTTGCAGTAACCGCAATTAGACCTGCAATGACTGCAATAAGAGTAAAAATGAATCTCTTAGTTCTTTTGAGGATACCTTTAAGATCTTCATTGACTGTGTGAATAGAGGGGGAAGACTCCTGTGGACGATGTAAAGAAACTGGTATGCCTACCCCCTCCCTAGCCCTCACCGAGAGAATACTTGTTGTGGGATTAAAAGTAGCATCAATGGACGTGAACAGCTTACAGTTATCACATTCTATAGTGTGTGTATTGGGAATGATAATTACATTCCAACCAACAGCATATAAGGGGGTTTGACACAGCTCTTGATAGGCATCACCTGTTCAGACATCAAGGTGATGTTGAATATGGGTGTCTTGGTATTAGTAGGAGAGAGTTGATAAGTAGCATTCCTTATCCTTATTCCTATCATGGCTGCAGCTAATTTCCATAATTCAGGATGTTCTGGGGTAACAATTGGATGAATCATTTTTGGTCTGGGAGGAACGATGCCTGTGTCCATTCATTTAAATGGGTAAGGAGACACCCGTTCCCTCAACCTGTATGACTGCCATTCGTCCTCTACATAATCTAACAAACTCCGAGCATGTCATATTTTGGCCGGAGCAATTCCGCCAAGAATGCCCTCTTGGAGCCCAGTCAATAGCAACACCCGTAGCTAGACTTTGGAACACTATGACCTTTGGAGCATTACAATCATTCCATACAATTGAATTTACTAAAAACGGCCCCTTTGTAGGTTCCTTGGAGCAATCTGGCAGCCCTTTTGTGGAATTATCTTTTGTGGTAACAGGAACCCTCCATTCCTCATGTGGATTAAGTTGAACAGTCATAAATTGAAAATAATTGGTACTGAGCATATTATGTACTTAATAAGAATCATTACTAAAGCACAATATGGTCCACATCCAGTTCTGATAAGAAGCAGCTAAACAGCCAGGCGACATTGCAATGCACAGTGGTGGATATTTGTAGCCAACTGACAAATTAAACCTTCTTCTGGTTGAGCTGGAAACCTGTCATCATTAGGAACGGGCATGAATGCACTATCATGAGTGGAAACTTCCACTGAGGCGTCCACCCAGGAGACAGACTGAATTAAAGGGGGAAAAGGAACATATGCCCAATAGGTAGACTTTTCAGGTGTCCCAGCTGCTGGCGTACTCACCACTGCACTGACCGCTGTAAAGGCAGCCGGAGTTATATTACCCGTCGTTGTTGGAATTCCTTTTTCTTGTAGTAATGTTTGTGTTTGATGTGATAAGACGTTTATTTGACGCCATGTTGGTGGAGTTGAACGACTGGTGGTGTAGGTCACACGGCGATATTTTGTCATAATGTAGAGGTCATGAAGTTTATGTGTCAGGCGGGGAACCTTGCCCTTCGATTTGTGAGGAGTCTTTGCCTTTTGTTTCTGAGAGCGTTTCATATTTGAAATTTTGGTGCAATTTCAGTTGCCGGGAGGGAACCCACACAGGTTGTTGTCTTTCTCCTGGGGAAACGCAAGCGAAACCCCTGCCCCATGTTACCATGGTGCCTACTTCCCATTTGTTAGTTTTTGCATCCTTCCACCATACCCGCTTTCCTTTTTGTGGATCAAATTTATTTCCAGTGAAATGTTCTCTGCTGTAAAAGGTTGATTTCTTACTAGGTTTAAGAAGTTTAGTGTAAAAAGAGCCAGATTTAGCTGAGCATGAGGGGTGGTGGCGTCCCTCTTTGTCTTTGTGTCCTGTTTTCGAAGTTGATCTTTGAGTGTTTTATTGGCTCCTTCCACCAAGGCCTGTCCTTGAGAGTTATAGGGGATGCCAGTTGTGTGAGTAATTGCCCATGTCTGAGTGAGCTTTTTAAACACAGCACTAGTGTAGCCGGGGCCGTTGTCAGTTTTCAGTTTCCTGGGACAGCCCATAACCGAGAAACATGAAAGCATAGTCGTTTAACATGAGATGTACTTTCCCCTGTGTGACAAGTGGCCCAGATAAAATGAGAAAATGTGTCAATAGTTACATGTATAAAAGAAAGCTTGCCAAAAGCAGGATAATGAGTCACGTCCATTTGCCAGAGAGCATTCTGTGAAAGTCCTCTAGGGTTAACTCCTGAGGAAAGTGGCTGTAAAGGTAACACTTGGCAAGTAGGACAGTGACGTGCAGTGGTTTTAGCTTATTTCCATGTGAGGGGGACTTTTTTGGAGTCCCACAGCATTGACATGAGTTAAAGCATGAAAATTTTCTGCACCAGTGAAAACGGGAGCAACTAATGTATCAGCTCAGGCATTTGCTGCCCAGAGGGGCCCAGGGAGGGGTGTGTGGGCCCCAGTGTGAGTAATGTAGAAAGGAGAAGACCTTGCTCTGAGTACAGACTGAAACCTTTTGGAAAAGAAAAAGTAGGGTATCATCAGGCCGAAATTTGATTAAGGCAGTTTCAATGTTGCCAGCAACATGTACTACATAGGCCCAATCAGAAACAATGTTAACTGGTTCAGGGAAATCTTCAAGGACAGCCATGACAGCGATCAGCTCAGCTGGTTGTGCTGAACTAGCGAACAGTTCTGTTGGCCCTGTCTGTGCTGCTCGGCCATTACAGGAAGCATCAGTAAAAACAGTGAATGCTTCGGCTAGTGGGGTGTTTCTAGTCATGTGAGGTAAGATCCAAGAAGTGAGTTTAAAGAACTGGAATAGTTTTACATTAGGATAATGATTATCAGTTATACCCAGGAAACCTGCCAAATGGACTTGCCAAGCAACGCAGATTGCAAAAGCCTGTTGGACTTGTAATCGGGTGAGGGGAACGATGATTTTTTGGGGCTTAATACCCTTGTCTTATAGCTGCATTCCTAAATAGTGATAAGAAGTCTGGATTTTTGAGGGGGCGGGGTGGGTAATAACCAAACTGGCTGGTGTGCTTGTTGTACCGCAGAAAAACAAGATGTTAACACGGGGTGTGAAGGTGCCGCGAGATCAGCTGCCTGCTGGGCAAGATCGGTGGCCTGTGGCTGATTTTATGCCGCAGGGACAGCAGGTATTGGAGGCTGGAAAATTACAGGAAATTGCCAGGCTTTGGGATCCCCACATTCTCTTGCCTGTGCTATAGCCCTCATAAGAGGAGGGTCATTTCGAGGAATGTATGTAACTTGTTGCTTGTGAGCCGCAAGGGTAGTGGTGGCAACCGCAGTAGCGACTGGACCCGAAGCAGAAAAGAGGTTGGAATTTTGAATGGAGGAAGAGTTGAGAACCTGTAAACCAGGATGAGACCAGATTACTGCTGAGCAGGTCTTTCATGGGCCTGAAATCCAGGCTGCCGCGGCAACTGCGGACCAGGCTTCGAGGGAGCCTGAGGCTTCTTCAAGGGAGCCAGATTTGTCGAAAGAGACCCAGGCTTCAAGAGAGCCTGATTTTCTTTCTTTCTTTTTTTTTT